AATCAGAATTTAGACTATTTAAAGAATTTGACGTGATCTGACCGTACCGTTGTCGCTAGTCCGAATGTGGCTTTAATACTGACGCGATACTTACAAGTTACAAGGGAAGGCACGGAAGTGTCCCCCCCCCCCCTGCCCAACTTCGTATGTCTGTTAAGCAGTCAAAAATAAGGGATACGTATTTTTTGTTATCGCCTGAAACGCGACTTTAAGGGGCCTCGGCTCGCTGCGCTGGTAAATACCCAAATTGCAAAAAAAAATTTTCCTCGTTTACAGAAACCTTCCACTTTCCGAGCTCATTGACCCTCGGAGGTACGAATGATCTAAGAGAGACACGTCAGACGAATTCAGTCATTTTGACCCGTAGTAAAATTTCTGTTGAACGCAGGTTTCAAGAAGAAATTATTCATCAAATTTTGTGTATATTTTCAAGTTCATATGTTACATTTAGGCTAGGAAACGAATGTTACCAACCATTTCATCGAAACTGAAATGCTTTATGTTTATTCGTATTGGAGGCGAGTAAAATCGAAGACGAAAGATGGCACGAAGGGAAGCTTCGGTACAAAAAAAAAAATTACGTATATGCTTTGGAATAAAGGGGGTCAAAGGTTAGGTTCTCTGTGTCATATTTCCTACTGCCTCTGGAAATCCTGTCGAGGCAGGTGCTACGATACTCGAGTCGATCGTGTTCTCGTAATACCGAGACTTTATAAGCTCGCGAAACGAGTTGCTGTCCAATCTGAAACTTAAACTTCGTCGAAAAGTTTCCTTCCTTAATTAATACCGAATAATTCCTTAATTAGTTATGCCGTCAATCATTAATGCGGATTGAAACAGAATCAAAGGAATAACAGTATGTATACGTGATTCGATGATAATCGAATCGTTAACGAAAAAATCATTTCTAACATTCCGGTTTTGTAGCATAAGGCAGATATATCGTATCGCGGAGTAACATTTATTGAACCAGTAGGGGAATGTATCGTAATTAATAAAATAGTTAATTAGCGTGCTACCGGCAATGACACCGACGACGACGCAACGAGGACGCAACGTAATACACAACGTTGAATATCGATCGCGTACCGAGCTTCGTTCAGGAGTGCCTGGATTAAGTAATCCCGTTTCGTGTTTTACATCACGTTCCGTAAACACGTCTGTCTACTCGCAACATTCTTAAAAACATACTTTCCATTGATTTCACAGGTGGTAATGCACAGGCATTTTGATAATTAATCACTGTCGTTTAGATGGCCTCTAAGAAAATTAAAAAATCACTCAACTCAGATTCCTTTCACGGTAACATACTTTACCGAGAAGATATCGACGAAACGCGCTAACGACATTTTCTGCCAGCCGTCGATAATCTCCTCGTTATTCTGTAAATTTTGTTCGTGGCGAGGCGAGGCGAGGCAAGGGGTACGATTAATCTTCCGTCCAACAATTTCCTTTAAGGTAGTAAACCTACTCCATCAACGCCCAAGGACGGCTATTAATTTCAGTGCTATTTAGTTATTCTCGGATTAGGAAATTTATACGTACAATGACGCGCGCGTTTTAATTCGATCAAATAGGTAATTCACATCCCTCGCAAAAAATACTCAAGCTGACCTACAAGTGAAATTCATTCCCGCCCAATGATTCACTTAACGAAATTCAATTTTCATCGTGCGTAAAATACATCGAACGTAATCTTGTTCGCGAAACAATTCTCGAGAAACTAAGTTAACCACGTCAACCCTGCCATGTTGTTCTAACCGTGGGCCTTTATCGATGCGCTTCATGCAACAAAGGAACAAGCAAAGTTCCATGCTTTTCACGTGTCTGCACGATAGCTTCGGTAATATTACCAATAAAGAAAATTTTAATTACGGCCTAAAGCGAGGACACACGAAGGACCATCAACAGCACCCCGATCGAGACTATTTTCGGGCTATCCGAAACATTGATCGCGGCGGACTTTTAAGCAACGTACAGCTTGAAATCGCGAATTTACTTCACCTTAGGCCTCATCTGTAAGTCAAAGATAAAGTTTCGCAAAAGTCTGATTTAACGAAAGATAAAAACAAAATGTGAATCGCAACAGAAAGAAGGCGAAGAAAGCTTTATTCGCGACGCAATAGCGAAGAGAAGTTTCACTTGCGAAAAGTCATGTCTTCTATCCGTTCTATTTAGAAAATAAAATACCAGCGTGATTCTATCTGCAGAACGTTCTATGTACGTATAGGTTTTTGGTTTTCAATTCAGCATCGCGGTAGAATAGGTTGAAATGGTTCGAACGATCTGAGCACGGTTCAGAGAAAAACGAGACAAAGCTTGCTGTTTCTTCCGGAGTAGGTACATACCTACGTACATGGGTATGGATGCATGCATACGTGTGCACAGTTTGGGAATTTGCCAGAAGCTTTGTGTTACGAACGTTATTCACGTATACGTGTATTCAGCCCGAGAGTATCCAGATTAGTGCACGAATTCTAGCCTGAACGGAACTTCGGTGGCAGAAACACGTTCACGAAATTGTGTTTAAGACCCGAACATGTTAATTCGCAACGCCGATACCGTGGATAACGATGTTTAAACGTGGTATTCGCGTCACCCCCGTTCTCCCTGTGACGCAACGAATCCACGAAAATGAACCGCCAAGCGGAAAATAATCGGACACCTCGGGGCGCTCTTCTGCGGCGACGATAAGGTAAAAGTAACTCATGGATAATGCAAATGCAGCTTCCAGGCAAGATGCACGAATATGCTGACTAATACACCACTCTGCTATAAGATCGTTTTTCTTCAGAAAATGGGAAATGCATCGCGAGAACAGCACGTCGGCTGTGAAAATCGATAGATATACATATACCTCACGACAAATCGAATTTTCGGACGTTTCGTTTGAATAAATCGCGTCTCAAGTAGTCGCGGAATAGATACGCAAACTTCTCTGAATATTCTTCTGTAATAAGTTCCGGCGGAAATAGCGTCTCGCTGAAAATTGAACGACCCACTTTACGCAAAGACATCGCGAAACCACGGATCAGGCTGGGAACGATGTTAAATTTCTGTGGTATGCCGGGAAAGTCACGCACACCGCAGAATACTCGTTCGTCGTATATACATTCTGTATGTGCCTACATATTCGTAACCGATACATCGGACGGATTCCAAGACTGCCTGTTCAATGTCCCCTCGGGTCAACAAGTTTCCGTGTGCATTTTTAATTGTCACCAGTCTACCGATTGAAAACGGAGAACAGACTCGTGCTCGAGAACGATGAGTTCTCGATAGAGACGGAAATATACACGGAAGGTTTGATGAAAAATCGGGTCAAACTATTTTCATATTTCTGACGTTCGATAGATAAAGTGATCTCGTAGCGAGATAGAGAGAGAGAGGGAATCAGAAACAAAGACGAAACTCGACTAGAATACTGAAAATTGTTTGCTGCTTGGGAGCCGTCCCTTTGAGGTACGATAACGGCACCCCTACTTCGACGTCGGAGTTCCCAGGGGGCTCGTGTTCGAACTGGCTCTTTCGAGCGAGGACGCGTATGTAGGCCAATTTATAGGGGCAATATTCGGCGAGCCTGTAGAAGCAAAAAATAGATGAGGACTAAAAGGAAGGAGAAGATACGAATATTTGCCGCCGCGCCGCTTGGAAACAAGACTGTCCTCCGAGCCGTTTCGAGGGATAACGAGCTCCCTCTGTCGCGTCGTATCGGTTACGGAATTAAGCTCGACTGTACTTAACGAAATGAGCCTCCCGATTCGAACAAGATTATAATATGTTGTACTGGAATTAACAGAGCGACCGAAGGTTAAGCTGTTTCTCTATTAATTTAAATTTCTTTTCGAATACTCTTGGAAGACATTCCGAAAGGTTAGCTTTTCACATTTTGCAAATAATAGAAAAGATAAGAGCAGATGTCCGCTTACCTAGAAGATCCATTGAAGACTCACCGGTCGCCCTCGTAGGTAGCCGTCTTTTATCCAGAATATTTCCATCTGAAAAACGGAAGAAAAAAATGTTTCAACACATGTACGTAGTAAAATAAACAGCATAAATGTTCAATGGCCGAGATCGTGTACATAGGTATGCTTTTCGCAGTCTATACCACGCAAGTAGATTCGCGTGCAGGAGTAAAATTAAATTCGTTCTTTGGGCCGATCCCCGAAGGAAATTAAGTCCTCCTGCAATTCCAAAAAGAATTCAGGAACGAGAAGATTCTAGGGATCTTCGACTCCTCGCACGCAAATAGCACTTTCCGATTTTCCCCAATATTCACACCGGGATGGCATGTCTAACGTTATTGCTTTCCGAAGAGTGGAGAAAGGAGAAAAGAGTGGAGGCGACCGCGGCGGAAAGATAAGGCTACGTGCCTTCTAAGTGTACTGGAACACTTTTGTTTACAATATTTGCCCATCCACGCGTTACATACCCATTCTTCTAACTGACTTGATCATACCGGAGGATACGAATTCAGCACGGTCAGGGTCGCGAGAAAAAATCGACTCAACATTTTCTATTTTTCGTAGCACAGGTATTATAATTGTAAATATGTTTTCGTCGAATCGAACGTTATTGAAGCGTGCATTGCGTTGACATAGATGGAGACCCGCGAGAAAATTGCGAAGCAGTGTAATTGGCACGGTAAAAAATTTCAGAATGGAAGTTAAAGTCTGGCATTGCTGGGTGTGGTAGTCTCAGATTAAAGAGTGAAAAGAACAGAGGAAAATTAGAAAACCGGGCTGCGCCAGCGGCGGCTATGACTTTTGTACCGTGAGAAATGAATCGTGACGGATAACGGGAACAGTGAGCAGGATGTTTTTTTCGAAGGGAAAGCGAAAATAGAGGGGCCAAAAAATAGAGCAACGAGGATCCTGTAATTGAAACACGAATGGCACACGACTCGACCGTCGCTCTTATACGAGTTTTTTAAATTACGATGTAGCACAGATGTGAATGCTTGTTCCGAGGTACTGATTTTGTTTCAGTTTGAAAGAAAAATGTCGGTTGAGATAAGAGCAGGTCGACCAACGATGCCGACGATACCGCAGTCTAAGAGACCAACCATTTTAGTGTATCCGACAGGTGAGATCACGGTAATACAATTTTTTAATAACATATTCAATTACCTTTGAAAGAACTTGAACAATTGGATCGTAATTAAGTTCCCTCGCTAATCACGTACAGTATTCTGATAATCGGCTGATCTATCAATGAAAATTCAATGGACTTCGTTAATTCGCAAGCTTTTCAAATCATGAGGACTCCAGATTTACGATTAAAAATATTTTACCTTATTTTCCAGTAACTCCAGAGAGTATCATTATTCCAATAGTATCGTGCATTCTGGGATTCCCGATATTGGCGCTTATGGTCATCTGTTGCCTGAGGAGGCGAGCAAAGCTCGCGAGAGAACGAGCCAGAAGGAGAAACTGTGATCTGGATCATGGTGCTTTGAGTCTTGTTCGATTTAGCCCGGTTCATCGTTTAGGTGAGTTTTCAGGGTAACTTCAATCAACTGCCAATATTTCCTTGTCTGATTATTTAATACTTAACGAACGCTCAAAGTCGTCCAAGCGTAACAATAAAATTTCAGACAAGTTTTAGACCGAAACATTTCTGGCTGAAATTTTATCCCCGGTGTACTTCAAACGCGCGCCTTCTGTTTTAAAAAGGGCAGTTCATCCATCCTGGACTGTTGGAGTTAAACTCGTAATTAAAATATGAACATCTTTAAGGGAAATGGACGGATTGTATGACGAAAATGGATAGAGGTCACGGGACATTTATATTTGAGCAATTCCGCCCTCTTTAACAACCACAGTGGGCTTCCGTCCGTGGTCGCTTTTCTATCTAGAAACACCGAATACGTACTCACCTACATCTGTACGTTCAAATGCATACAAATTCATACACGCAGGGATACAGTTTTGTAAATGGAACGTATACACACGTACATATTTGGATAAGCGTAAGCACGGGCTACGATATACATACGTACAAGTATATGCATGAGTATACGTATGTATGTGTGTACATTAAATAGAAGGGAAGAGACATTAAAACAGATTGAACGTTGGCCTGAATATTCGAGTTCATGCAGTTTCCAGAATGCTTAGAATCCAGACGTCGCGATTCTTGTGCACACGACAATACCTTTCGATAAAAATGTTTAATCTTCATCAAAGTACAATACCTTGAGAAAGTAAAAGACAGCTGTGCGAAAATAATTATCGGTTTCACATAAATTCCGAATATCTGTACTTTTCAGGGTCCGGTTGTCTTTATATTATAGTTCGATCGTTTATGGGGGCAGACAGGAGGAAACATTGTCAGGATGAACTTCTTATTTCCAATTATACATACTACAGTATAAATGTAATAATATTCGTCGTCAAGGTTGTGTATTATTCAGGGATAAATAAAGTCAGCTGTGTAAAAGATTTTCGTACGTACGGCTACAATTTACCGTAGTCCTAGAGCTCGTAGATTTACGGGTCTGGAAATTTGATAAATGGTAGATATCACTTTGGTTACTGCCGAGCGCACACGAGGGTGAAGATTCTGATTAACGCGAAACTGTTCTGAAACAGAGGCAAGAAAGAGAATGTGTATTTGTACTTTTGCCATTGACTCAATTTATAAAAAGTCGAAGAATATATTAGTTGAATAACTAGTTAAATGAGTTCAAATAACGAAAATTAATACAATAACTCCTTCGAAGACGTCCGAACTAAAATACATATCCATTATTTTATTATTCCGTCAAGCGCAGCATCTAAAGAGGATTTAGGTAAAAAATTTTATCCTGATTGTTGCCTGATTTCGTCTTTAGAGACGTTAGAATTTTCTGAGAACAACGCAATTCGTTTTACTTAATGCGCAATCATTTGCCACCGCCGCCGCCACTGCTACCGTTGCATACTTACGTAACGTAGAATTTAATTAAAGTTTCGCGGAAACCTGAAAGGAACGCGAAAAGAACTAACGATAGAAACGATTCGTTCTGAAATCGATACTTGTGATCTGCAAGCTGCAATCAAAATGCGTTTTTAGTTTTAATTTAATCCTCGAGTACATATGTATGTAGGTATATGCAGGTTCGCCACATCTTGGCACGGCTCTCGATGCAAAAGCATGAATAAATTATTAATATCGTAATTCGCATGTAACTGAACTCGAAGTATTTGCTCCGCAAGCCTGGTAACATATTTAAATCAATTCTGCGTACAACTATATATTAACTACTATATCGGATGAACAGTTTTAAATATACATATAACCTGTTTACATATATGTATACATACATTAAGGTGCAATTAGTACTCCTGCTGCATACGTTTTCGCGCTTTTATCAGCGGACTTGCTTGATGGTTCAGAGTTTTCTGAAGTAAGAAAGAACTTATGTTATTTCTACAATGCATTACAATTTCATTTGTATGTAACAGTTGGAATTGATCGCGCGACGAGAGCAGTATCGTTACGAAGCGATCGAGGATCTCGAGCCTTTCCATCGCTGGAATTGGATACGGTTGTCGAGGAAAGATCGGATCCTGAACAGAGCACCGCACTGGAACTTAGTAGTCCAGATTAGCATCCAGCTTTGGTACCGCCCAGGTTGAATTTTTGCTCATCCCTGATACCCGTAAATCGTATTTTTATATATCGCTAACATTAGTAATTAATTCTTCAAAAATGTATGTAGAATGTCGAGGAAACTAGGTTTCCGTCTGTCGGTTTGTTAGCTTCGAAAGGAATTTCTCGATTAACTATACCTACTCTGAACAGTTCCTATATTGCCGACGCTGAATCGCGTTTTGTCATTAATTAAACATTTGGTAGGAGGAAGACACCGTTGTAAAGTGATTATTTGTCTTATTTTTTTTAGGTCTCCCCGACCATCAAAATCGGCGGTGCCATTGCCCGTAGATCACAGCCCATTATGGACGGCATTGACTCACGCCAATGCCGTGTCTTCCGCACTTGGAGATACCTAACAGGAGGTTGAAGAGGGCGGCTATATCGAAGCTCTCGTCCTCGATTTACCAATCATCTACTAAGAACGTTGAATAAATGAGTTCATTACGAAAAATTGACAACGGGACCTTATCTTATTCGACTTCAAGACCGCAAAGTTATACCATAAGAAGTGCCACAGCATGAACTGATTTAAACAATAAAGACATTAAAGAAGAAGCGATAAAACTGTATAAATAAGACTCGCAAATGTAACGAAAATTGCGACGAACTACATTTTTTACTGATACACTTCTATGGCACGCCATAGACAACCTGCTTTTTACACGACGACATTTATTTAACGAGATAATATACGTGTCCGCTGAGAATGTATATATTAATGTAAATATGAATTTGTTAACATCGTGTACAAACAAAAATCAAACTGTGTAAATAAAGCATTATGAACAATTGTATCGCATATGCAAAAGCACTGCCCAGTTTGAAAACATACGCACATTTACACAGTTTATTATTGCATTGCGCATTTTCGTGATTAAAAATGGTCAACATGTACATATCAAATATAAACTAATTGCAATAATATTCTATCTTTTATAATTTAGTATTACACTACAAACTGCTTCTATAATCTATTGTATGTATAACAAGACATAGCTTTACACAAGTTTGTTTCTGCTAAACCATGTATACGCTCACTTTTCTTCCCACAACATACATTATTCAAGGTCTTTCACACAACAAATTTAGTAAATTATTCTGCACAGTAAAAAGAGCAAAATATGCGTAAAATCTTCCAAAAGAATTGACTTTACTCAGTTTTCTACACATTTAGAAACCAGGTATCACTCTTCCCATTTTAGCAGACTTCTTCAACTTATTTAACTTTTTATCTTTTTTCCTTTTCATGATATTGTCTTGTCTCTTGTCCTGCCTTTCTCGAATTCCTTTTTGTACATTTTCTAATCTAGACTCCCATTTCTTTACACTGTGTTTCTTTTTCTGCTCTTTTCTATTTATTGTTCGTTTAAGTAAATCAGGATCGTCTTTTATCTGCAAAAGTAACAGATTATAAGGTTTTAAATATGTCAAAATGAAATTATGAATAATTATAGGCTTAACAAATTTTTCTGCTTACTTTTTCTCCACTGGCTTTAGCTAATACAGACTTCCATGAGTCCTTCTCTTTAATTTCTTGCGCTTTTTCTATTTCACCCAACTGCTCCATTTCCTTTAACTTATCCTTCTTCTGTTTCAGTTGAAGTAAAATTTTCTTTGGATCTTTTACACTTTTGGGAGGTTTCTTTTTAGTTCCAATTTCCGAAAAATCAAACTTACTAAATACCATTTTGCCTTCTGAATTAAATACAGGCTTTGGTCTAGGAACCTTCGGTACCTCACCATCTTCCTTTTTAATCTTAGATCCCTCTGTTGAATTTTGCTCTATCCTGGCTAACTTTTTTTGCTTCAAACGTTCTTCTTTCTTTGAAATCTTTTTCATTTTATTTTTCAAATTCTTCTTCAACTGTTTATCCTTATATCCTAATTTTTTCACATTTTTTAACCCTTCAAGTTTAGTGTGTAGCTCTTCAAATGTATTTGCTCTCTTAGTTTCTCCAGTAGAATGAAGATAAACTTTGCCTGTAGTAGAAGACATGCAAATTTGAAAATAAGAAACATAGGTATATGCACTACACAAATATTACTGAGAACCAACCTTTTAACATTGCCTTTGCATTATGTCTTACTAATTTACTTTCTTCATCTGAAATTCACATGTATTTTGTTTATCATTACTGTACCTATTATAAATTTTTCGAACGTTATTTTTTTTCTTATATATGTACCTGGCTTTGATGTAGGTAACAGTGTTGTTGAAAAAATTTGTGTAATAAATTGATTTTCGTGTTGCAGTAGCTGCTTGACAAAATTCTTGTTAAATGGTTTTGACATTTTTAACTGCATATTTCTCAGGAAACACGTGCGTGATTACCAGAATGTAAATAAAACACAGGTTTACAAAACAGCAAGACACAAACACGTTGTCAGTTTTCAAAAACTCAACAGCATGTCACAAAGGTTAGGAACTATAATCTACCGCGCAAACTCAAAAACACAAGGAACTTTGCAACTTACAAACACTATAAAAGTATAATATTATACAGTATGAGTTGATTTATACATTAACAATTATTAGTTGTGACTTGTTTAATTATTAAATTAGTATGTACTTGTTTTAATGAAACTGGCATCTCCAGGACCCGAAGGTGCTATCTAGCGACTAGCGACAGTATGTATATACATATACATATAGTTGCAATTGACAGTAAGTTGGCTGCTTCGCCATAGATACCGCTAGCGTGTTATATTAACTGTATTGTATTTGGTATAAAAATTTGAACATTCGTTGAAAACACCGCGACCAAGAGCACTCGATGTATTCTGTTCCACTTAGTAAAAATCTGTATTTCAATTATAAAGATATTACACTCAACATTAAATATTATACTTAACTTAAACTTAAGTATTAAAACTACCTACAGAATTTTTAGTCAAAAATACTTAAATTTATATTTCATTAATAAAAACTGTTATACATAACAATTCTAAAAAATGTGGTCAATCCTTAGTAGATTGTTTTATGAAATGTACTGTTACAAACTCATTTGATTGCTAACGTATTATTTTCAAAAATATTGTAGAAAGTATGTACAATTATTCTTATTATTGCTGCTGCTATTAAATATAAAACCCTGAATGTACAACAGTAACTAATGGAAATACAGTTAAAAAATATATTATCCAAGTACTAACAATTATTTAAATGTCAATACAATACAATAAAAATAAAAGTGACATTGGAAAGTTTGCTAAAAGTAGTGTGTAAAATTAAGGTACAATTATATTGAAAGGGCAACCTTCAGTAACATGTCTGATCTCAAAACAATTAAATAGTATCCATGCAACAAGTACATGTCAAATGCTTGCTCAATTGCCAATGCATCCCCAGGTGTTTGAAAATAAACATGGCAATATCTAATTTCAGTTTTTGGCACTGTTATCATAAGAGATGCAGATATTGGCTTATACTTTTCAAAAAGATGCAATATATAATGTATCCCTAAACTGGGATGGACATTAGCTACAATCACTTCATGAGCTGGAATAACTGCTGTATTTAATGTAGAATGTATTGTATTATGCATAGTAAGTTTCTGATCATTATAGATCAAGGATGGAATTTCACTTTCTTTGAAAAAATTCGTTATCACTGAACTCTCTTTATCAGGTTTTGAAGAAATTGAAGTATTCGATCCGATTCTTTTTAGCTTCTGAAAGTGCAGTTGATGTCTTAAAGGTGATGACGTTTTAATATTATCATCATTGGTACTTCTTAAACTATGCAAACTTGTATCAGATGATTCTCCATAGTCTGTTGCATTATTCTTAAATATGTTTTGCTTTGTTGCACGGAACGAGTTTCCTGTATCAGATGACGAATCTCTTTGGTCGCTTTGTTCAGAAAATCTATTTTTCTGAAATTGATTGCTAGATCTATGAGTACAGTTACTGTTATTCTTCATTTGTGTCTTCTTCTCCTGTTCGTTAATTACGGTCTTATTTTTATTTTTGTGTGGTAATATTTTAATGTAGCTGTGATTTTGGAAACCATCAATACAACGAATAGTATCTTCTAGATGTTTATAATACACAAAACATAATCCGAATTGATTTCCACGATCAGATATAGACGAAACTATGCCGTATACAGAAAACGTTTCTTTAAGTTCGTCCAAACTCAATCCTTTATGATTCGGAAAATGTACAACATAAGAATCACTTCTTTTATCATAATATTTTGCGTAATCCATGTTTGTATGAACTACTTCTCAATTTTATATTTGTATATATTAGAATTATTATTTCCTTATTATTGTACATAAATTGCCGCGTTTCCACCATTCATAGTACGGTTATAGTTATTGAAGGCGCAGCATGTTCGCTATTTGAATCTGATTACATATGTACTTTACAAACTTTAGTATGAATGTTGCTTCAATAAATTAATAGCAGGTACATATTTTTTAGATTAACTTAACGACGCGTGTATATATATACTGTACATTTATTGAAATCTCAAAAACTAGATTGGCGTGCAGTTTTCTACTTTTCATAGTGAGGTTAAATTAATCAAGAGAGCAATGTAGATGTCACTGAATGTGTCACCAAATCCTGTCAAAAATTTATGAAATTATTAAATATTGGAACCAATATAATTAAAAGGTTATCAACATAACGATAATAATTCTCTTAGATAAAAATGATTATTTATGCTACAAGTGTAATATATCTCTTATGAATAAATATCAATTTTCGTATAAAAACAGTCAATCTCATTTTGTAGTACAAAACAAAATGAAAATAAAACGATTGACATAACACGTAAAGCCTTTAAGTACTTAATTTTGAGCGTAAAATAGTTTGGTACGATTTTTCCTCGAAGTCGAAATTGAACATTTATGTTTTCCCGCGTCGTAAAAATGGCTGATACCGCAGCCATATTTTTGCGACGAACATGCGCATTGGTTCGGTCGTAATTTACATTTCTCAAGCACGAAGTCTGTTCGTTTTATCTGCACGGAGTTCAAGTAGCCAAGATTACAGTTAAACGTTCGGTTCTGAACATTTTTTGACTAAGAATTTGCACAGTATAGATGTAAACGACTACGAATAAACGTTAATAGTGATGAAAAAAAAAGAAGTCGGAAGAATGGGCGGAGTTTGCGCCTGTCGAAATACGAGGTAAAAGGCGTCGCTTTATTTGAAGAGTATTTTTGCAAGCTTGTAGTTGGATTTATGGGTAGTGTCTTCAAAGAATAGTTAGTTTGAATTTTTATCAAAATCTGTAGAAATTTAAAGGATCCGCGATACAGGTTAAGGAGAACGCGCCTAGGAAAAGCAGCGAGGTCGCATCGTAAATAAAGTGGATGCGCACGCGGACAATACACGTGAGAGAGAACGAGGGGAATCCTCTGGTTGGAGAAGAACAGAAATGAATCGGTGGTTCTGATTGGTCGAGGCGGCTGTTATGGCCGCCGATTGGCGCACGCACGCTCGCATACCAGGCACTCGGTGCATACACGGACACACATACACGCGTGTGCATCAGCAGCGTAGCAGTCGCTCGCGGCCGAGAAGAGTGAAAAGAGCGACAGAAACGGTCGGTCCGCGCGTTGCCTTGTAAGGCGGAGGGAGAGTTGGTGTGTGACGTCCGTGCGCGGATGGCTCGAAGAACGCCGATTTTCCTCAGCTTCCACGACGTATCCTTGCCGAGCGGAGGAACGACCAAGTGAAAGGAGAGTGCATGTGGGCCGGCCGCGACGCCGACCGTCGACTCAACCGCGTATACGTAAAACCCGACAATCCGTCAAGTTTAAAGCTGCCGAAGCTGCACCATTTTCATCATCCTCTTGTAGTTGTGTATACCAAAACTAGTAACCAATTACTAGAAGCGCACCGTGGAACGTTCCTGCGACAAGGTAGAAAAAATAGGAAAAAGTGGCAGAAATAGAAATAAAGGGTCCGAAGGGCATCGAGAGAGTCAGTGAGACAGAGTGAGAGGGGAAGAGAGAGAGAGAGGGAGAGAAGAAAGAGCAAACGAGGGAGTAAGAGAGAGATAGAGATCAAGAAAGAGAAGCGAGAGCGAGTTAAAACGCTGAACGAGATACGTAAGAGACAAAGGCCACGGCGGCATAACCTCCAAGCGATTCGATCGTACCGCGCGGTTTGGGAATACCCTGTCGTCGTGGATCGTTTCGAAGGATTACTCGATACGCATTATTTACGAGAGATTATATTTTTACAAGTGCACGCCTGCTGCCCGGGCTTCCATATATGAATTGTTGCACGAGTGAGAGAGAGAAAGAGCACGTGTATGCAAACGTATTTTACTCGAGATACAAGGAGACGTCGTTTTGAAGTGAAAGAGCGGGACGATTGTTTGTATGGTCGTGTTTTTCCGCGACATCTGGTATACGATAGACCGTAGTCCGCGAGTGTTGTCTACTGTGTAAACAAATTCGTTGTTGCGTCGTCAGCGAAGAAAAAGGGAAAACGAAAAATAGGAGAAATTTGGAGGCCGCAGATAATATTTTCAGTGGTGTAGTCCACAGTTGATGGATGAAACTGGCAGGATGCTGCAACACGGTGGATCAGGTGTTGGTTTGATGGGAGGTAATCAGGGCCAAGGGGCTCAAAATACCGCTGGGTACGGAAGCATGGGACCCGTCGATGGGACCGCGACACAAGGTCCTGATCAGGCTGTTGAAGCCAGGAAACAGGACATCGGTGAAATCCTTCAACAAATTATGAACATCACTGATCAGAGCTTGGACGAGGCGCAAGCGAGGTAGATCCTATTCGAGATCCGATCAGCCGCCATTTTTTACTACCGATGTATCGTTGCTCATAGGAATTGTTACGCGTTTTATTTTTTCAAGAATCGTTTCTCGTTTAAACATTTCCTTTCCTGATACTTTTTCTCGTGTTACTTTCTGCGATCATTCGAATTTGTCTCTAGCTCTAGTTTACGTTTCTTAATACCAATAGATAACTGCGATGAAAACAGGTTATGTTGATCGCTCTTGAGTATCTCGCGGCACAGTTTTGTCCCTGGGGAAAGTAATCATTATTTTTACGAGACCTTTCAAGATTTTCTATCGCCGGTTAAACTGTTAAATAACGGGTGTGGTACGTGTACTAGTAATGACAAGCTGTAACGCAGGTTGTATATAAGCGTACGAGTATAGTACGACGATAAGGCCGCGTTTATCTTCGCATTATTGGTCCATGATCGTCCAACGTTTGCCAAAACGTTCATCGCGTCTTACGTGCAAACACGCCGTCCGTGGATTAATGTTATTTTCGGATACACGTTTCGTTATCGTGAAACCTATAACGCGGCAGAGATTTTCAATAGAGAACAAGCCCAACGTCTGACTCAAGTTTTTTCTTTTTCTTTTTTTCTCTCCAGGAAGCACACCCTGAATTGCCATAGAATGAAGCCTGCCCTGTTTTCGGTCCTCTGTGAAATCAAAGAGAAAACAGGTGAGTTTTATCGACTCATACTTTCTTACTTAATCCGGCACGGTATGACAAGGCGGTTCTGATGCTCACGTGACTATGCGTCACAAATTGTACATACTTCAGTATTTACCGGTATGCTACGTACGTATCCTATAAATTAAGATACGTCGGTTTACTAGAAATCTACAGTTTATGTTATGGCTGCTTAAGAATTAATGAAAGTTTTTAAACGTCCGCTCTACGTTTCATAAAACGTGCTTGAAAGCGTACCGCGTGAGCTGACAACAGTCTGATTTTTACTGGAAAAAACAAATGAACAACGCAAGACAAATCACATTTAATTCGACCTGTTTTCTAGAATGAATTGTCACGTCTGTTGTTGTTTATTGTGTTCGCAACAAGCGACACGATAATCAAATTGTCGTATCTGCAGTCATCATCTCCAAAAAGTCACGATAAACGACTACCGATTAAATAGACGCCGAATAGATAAGAGGAAACACTCCATAAAAATACGGACGATCACCTCGTAACTCGCGTGAACCAGCCGCCTCTAGCATACGAGCCGTTCTAAACAATTCAAGAAATTCCTAGAACAAGAGATCCCTATCTAACCTCTATCGAGAGAAGAGAGAGGCTGTTGATACGTTTTCAGCGTGTGGTGCAGGGTCGACCCCTGCGCCCATTCGAAACTCGTAAACATAATTTTTATGCGATGTTTGGATTACTTTTACGCGCGGATCAAGAGACCACGAAACGCGCAATTATTTTTCGGGTGCGAGGGGTGGCTGGCTGGCTCGATGGCTGGCTTGGCTCGGTTCGAACCGACAACGGGCAAAGGGGGGGCTGAGGTGGAGAGAAGGAGGTGTGTGGGTCGGCTACCCCAAAAGTAGTTTCTGCCTGGTCGTTTGATGGGGGTGGTGGGGCCACCACGCCCCTCATGCTAAGCCACCCTCTTTCACGTCGTTCCGCCATAAGTATATGTGTATATCCTACACACATTTTTCTCTCTCTTGTTCCCCTCCGGCGCTCACCATCGGCCAGCTAGTCTCCTTTCTCGCGACAAGGGTGGTATTGTGCTGGTCGAGGGTTCGACGTCGACGACATTCCACGTACAGCGTCCGTTGTATATGTCTCTCCGATAAAAATTCGAAAGGGAGGCAAACCACCCCCACTTCTTCTTCCCATCGTCGCGAAAACGATGCCCTTTTTCCTCTAGAATAACCCTAAAAACCTATTCTTTTTTTAAGTGAGCCCGTAGAGGAAACTTTTTAAGCGCGTTTCATAATTCTTCGAAACTTCAATTTTATCTTCCGGTTGATTTTCATCGGATAACCGGGAATGAATTTGACGTCGGTGTGATACACTACGGAAAGCTCAAGGCGAAATCCACGCTTGAATGGCAAACTTTAATCGTACTCGTGAAAGAGTTCATTCGGCGTCTGGCATAAAGAAAGTGAAACAGAGTCGGGAGTGTAAAGAGGATTTACGTAAACAAAAAAGGCGTCGAAGTATGATGAGCGCACTCAAGGGGATGAGTCGCTTTTAATGGTTCTGTATTCTTTATGAGTCGCGCTAAGTATACAGACGCGTTCCTCGTCTGGGCACATGGGTGGTTGGGTGTGAATGTGGATGTTCGTTCGCGTAGGTCAGACGAGGGTACAGAGAAAAATGTATAGGGTAACGGAGAGCAAGCGGCGGGGGATGAAAAGAGAAAAAGAGGCAAGGTTTGTAGTAGAGTTTATGGGCAATGGCTGACGAGGCAGTGAAAAAGTACTAAAACCAAGAGGAGCAGATAAACGCTATGTTAAGCAGACCGTTTTACCAGCCATTTAATATAATCGGCTCTCTCGTGGAGCTCGGATAACTTCGGATCAGGGCCGTACCGACTCAGATTTCTCCCTATTCGACAATTTTTTCCTTTCTCTTTATTTGCCACCGATAAACGTGGCGGCGGCAGCTTGCGCTATCATTACCAATGTTACGTTTGAATTTTATTACGGGGACGAGTGTTTCCGCGTTTACACCTTGTAGCGTTTCTTTCGTTCTTTCTTATACCTAAAACAGTTCGAATTTCGAAGTCTGATAAACGAATCGTTCGTCTCCTCTGCCACGGGATAGATGTATTTTTAATGAACTATTCTCCCATTTGAATATCTCGCATTGTGATTGATAGTCTCGAAGCGACGACGATTTGTCACGGTCATCCGAAACAGCTACTCCTCGAAACGCGGTGATCTTTGAAAACCTGTTTTGGACAACCCCGTTTAGACCGATTTCCCATGGGACGCACGAGGATCCCGATTGGTGGACCAACGAGGAAGAAAGAGAAGGGACGAAAGAGCTCGAAATCCGCGGGATTTCTCGAACCCACCTTTTTCGACCAACCCCTAATCCGTTTTTTCTTCTGCCCCGTCGCTCAGAGATCTTTTCTCTGGATAGTCCTTCGCAGCGGGGGTATAATCGTCACTGCCACATACCGCTTCCTCCTAAAAATATTCTTGCCTCGCTAGAGTCTCACCCTGTTACTCTCTGCGAGTTGTCATTGATTTGAGAAACGCTAAAATTAAATTACAACCCCCAGGCATCAAGGGACGTTTTCACTCTTCTATCGTCACACAAAAGTCCAAAATTTGATAGAGATAATTTGCTTGAGTAGGTAGTCTGTCATGATTTTGTAATGATTAGGCGATGGGGTATCGATCACTCGGTCGGTTGTCCGATTCGTAGTTAACTTTATTTATTGTTTGTCAACGCGTGTAACATACGCGAATTTCGAAATGAGGTTCGATTGGTTCTGTGTCGTCCCACGCTTTCGACAACTTTTTCTCTATTTCTTTCGATTTATCATCATTCAATTAAACCGACAGGCATGGCATCGCGTTACTTCCGATTTCGTACTTCGAAACTAGACGAATCCATACCCGCATTTGACTAACATCAATTCCACTTTGCGAAGCCGTTTCGCGTGTTTACTTTTCATTGATACATTTGAAAAATAATTAGCGGTTCGCTATACAATTTTCCTAATGAGCGTTGTGTTTTCCTAAGAGTAAAATGCATGTTGTATGTCAATTAGACTGCGCTCACTTTACTTAAGGCTTGCGCAACTCTCCGCATATTTGTTTGTCTCATGCGATTCTGCACGCGAGACTCGCTACGCTACGCAATGGCGAGCCAACATTCAAAATTGACACATTTTTTTAATGCGTATCAACACCTAGCGTAGCAGGATATTTTCTCGTTTTGGGAGTCATCCTTCTACTAAAATTAGTGGGCACACGCTCAATCAGTTGCAATTACTAGCAATCATATTAATGAAACCGCAGTGCTTCTTCGTGCACAGATACGGATACTAACTGAAGCATCGTGCTCGAGGAATTAATAATGTAATTTACTTGTTTGATGCAGTACATCTCGTGCATTATGATTTAACGCACGATTCCCTGTAATATGATTTACGGAATTTGTATCCGTGTTGTCGAGATTAAAATACAGCCACGTTCAATCGATTTCGATATTTGATTACAATCCAATTTATAACGCGGTCGGTGAAATTTTGAAGGGATCGTGCCCCTACTTATTTTCATGGATTAATTCTAGATTTTTATTTCCTCGAGAGACATACGACGGTGTTGTACTGGAAAAACGAAATATGATAGTTTCATTCGTGAGTTTGGTACAACGATTTGACGTGGGCTGTATCGTTGGCAAAAGGTATATACAAAGGTAGCGACCGTTTTCCAGGAGATGACGCTTCTCATCCCGACCCCAGTTGGAATGTCGTTCCCCTAGCTTCGATTTCCTTTTCTTCTTCTTCTTCTTCTTCTTCTTCTTCTGCTTTCAGCTTCTGCCCCTTCTTTTCCTCCTCCGCCTGTCGGGTCTTCTCTTTCGTTTTTCTTTTCTTTTTCTTCTCCCTCTTTTTCATCCGCGGTCCCCGCATGCAGATGGGGTTCCAGCAACCAAGGTGAACCGGCCTTTCTGCTCTCTCTTGAGATTCAAACTTCTTCGACTCGACTAACGAGATTTGTCCGATTCCAGCCTGTCGTATTGTGCGCTGATTTATTACGAAAAGTTTTTAAGGTTGCACCGTGCACTGGTGTCGTATACTCATGGGTACTGACTAGGTGAGAGCTTTTACTTGCCACACTCGAGTTTCGTAGCAATTTTCGTGGCGACTGAAGAAGCTTCGCCGTTTGACCGGTAGCTCCTCCCGTTCAAGAAACTCCACATGGTCAGACGCCGTCGAATATTTTCAAACGTATAGAATACATATCGGTGGAGTCTCGATCGTTGCTGTTCGAAAGTGTTTTGCAGTATCGAGGCGTTAATTTGAAAAAGAGTATGCAGAAAGTAGAAACTTATCCAACTACGTTAAACGCTGTTTCGATATCCTTGCTCCAGTACATTGTATATTTATAGGTAAAGATAAAAACTTACTGCATTATCGAGTAATACTATTACGGTAGCGTCTGCTCACAGATAAGATACGCGTTACGCGCGTGAACACGGACTGACGTAGGCGTTATTGTTCGGAAAGCAAGTCGAACGAGCAAAACGGAAAATCCAAAAATACGTGGGCGCGCGAGGCAACCTTGTATCTTTGATATTTCTGGAACAACCTTTCGTTAAACTATTCTCGATCGAGCGCCCGACGTAGCGTCTTGTGCTCGTAAGCACCGACTTGTCGGCGAAGAGTATCGCCTAACTGAAAATGTAGGAATACGCGTACCGAGCGGAGTTAATGGTACGGCGAACAAAAGAGTCCAAGAGACCGAGCGGGCATTGTGCTGTCAAGTTGTACACGACAGTTACACTGCTGTCCCGTTAACGGAATTGCACTTAAGTCGCTTTAATTGTGCGGAGTTACTGACCGGAAGTCGTCGTTATGGTCATCGCCCTCGCAGGAAGATATCCCTTTACCCTTTGCGTTCTGGTCGGTATCGATCTTGATTCTAGAACACGCGGCAGAAAATACAATTAACCTATTCCGGCATTATAACATACAAAATCGTGCAACT